AGCCATTTGGTGATCTTGGGGAGCTGTGTCCCAGGTGGAGCTGTGCCTCTCCCTGAACTCTGACCGTCAACCAGACAAGAGCAGGAACCCCGATGCTGGCTTCCAACTTGACTTGGCTGCCCGTCCCCAATGGAAGTGGCCTCTGGGCCCCTTGGTAAGGAAAGATCCCCAGTTGCCTCTGACTCAGTGCCCCGCAGCTCCTGTGGAACGTGGCCGGGGTGAGATCACACCTTGTGAATGGCAAGGAAGCTGCCAGCTCCTGTTGCCGGGATTAGAAGGCAAACTTGTTCTCACTAAGTGATGCTAATGCTGTGTTTATGGCTGTGTTTCTTCCCTGCTGCTCAGCCCCTGAGTCCTGCCTCCCCGGACCTCACATGTGACCGTGGAAAACTTCATCTTTTTAGAAGGGCCCCGTCCCACTGGGCTCCGGAGGCCCTTCGGGATCCTTTGAGCATCCTCCCATTACCCAGCCTAGATCACCGAGCGCTCAGCATTCACAGTGGCCCCTGGGGCAAGCGACGCCCCAGGCTGCAGAGCAGGTGGTTTTTGGTGATTAGTCAAAAAAGGAAAAGCTACCACTGCAGAAGAGGAGGCTGGGCCTGTTACATTTAATAAGAGATGGGAATTGGCTGGGCTGAGTTTGTCTCTTGAACAGGCAGGCACCCCGGGGCAGAATTCGCAGGACTGTGGCCAGACCTCCTGCTGCATACAGTGTAGATATTAAGCTATAGGGTGGCCTTATTTAAAAGCAGACCATTTTATAAGGTGCACGGTGCCGTCTAGACTTGGGAGCATTTATGGAAGTGGCTCAAACACCTGAGTTCTCTGCTCCTGGCATTTCGAAGGCGGGCTGAAACCTCTGGCTCGTGCAGGAACAAATTGGATTTTTTTTTTTCTGGAAGGTGTATGATTTCAGACATTTGGTAATCTCTTCCTGCTGGGCTCTCTCCTTACCACAGTCTTTCTTTGTAGATGTGGGTGAGGATTGAGGAAAACTGGAAAGGAGATTTGTCCACCTTGCCAGCCATCTTTATGTGTTTCTCTGGTAGCCCTCGGCCACGAGGGTAATTATGTCATTATTGTGTCATTTTTGCTTACTGCCCTTCTCCCCCTGTTCCCCCTGCCTTGAGGGCTGGGGCCCAATCGTGCTGGATCCCTCTTATGTGGTCTCAGCATCGCGGTTGGTACCTGCTAGGCACTCAAAAGGAATAAGTGAATGAACAGTCAAAGTCCAGAAAGGCTGAAGTGGGTATCTTGAGTCAGATTTTTGTCTTCTAAGGAGGAACGCTTTTTTCCCCTGTTCACCTGGATGGGCAACCGCAAGAAGGAGATGGGGAGATGGTCCTGGGTTCAAGTTGTTCATCCTTCTGTCTGATCTCAGACTCAGGTGCCGTGATGATCCTGGGGGGTGGCCCCAGCTGCTCTGGGCTTGCTGACATTTCAGATGAAGGCACAATTTAAAGACCCAGGGGAAAGGTTCTTTTGACCTTTGTGTGCTTTGGGAACAAACGTGGTCTCCATTCCCAAGGCCTTCAGTCACTGCCTCATGAGGAACCAGGAGGAATTCAAGTTTGCTCTGAGGATGAAGGGAAGGAAGGAAGGCCCTGTTGACGGAGCACCGTCTCCAGGTTAAACATGGCTGACACTTACTGAGCATTTACCTGGTGCCAGGCACATTCTACGTACCTCACAGAGACTTGTGAGGCAGGTACTATTAGTTTCCCTACTTGAAGGATGAGGAAACTAGAGCACAGAGAGGTTATACAACCTGCCCAAGGTCACACAGCTAGTGAGTGGTTTTAGTAGGACTCAAAGCCATGTCCCTAGCCATTATGCGGTACTGCTTCACTGTGCACTGGCTCAGTTTGTCCTTCAACTTCATGAAGCAGGCACTATATTACATTACTGGAGACACATTTATAGATCTCTTTCTCCTGCTTTTTAAACAACTCTTTACAAATGTGACAACCATTCTTAGCTCTCTGGGTCCTACAGAAACAGGCCTCGAGCTGGATTTGGCCTGCAGGCTGAATATGCAGCCAACAAAGAAGCAAGATGATTTCAGATGGTGCAAAATGCCCTGAAGAAGATAAAATGGGAAAGGTATAGAGAGAAGGAGGTGGCCAGGCTAGGGCCGGGGGTGGGGTGGGTGGGGTGGGGGTGGAGGGGGGCTGCTTACCAACTAGAGGGCTGGGGGGGCATCCCTAAGGGGATGGCATGAAGCTGAAGCTTGAGTGATGAGAGACCTGCCATGTGTGAGGCACTTAGCACAGTGTCTGGACTCTGTATTAAGTGCTCCAAGAATGCCTGTTATTATTACTGTCGTTGCTGTTGTTTTCATGGATGGCGTTAACTGGCTCCTCGACCTTGGATGAGTCATCTCACTGCCCTTGGGAGTTGAACTGAGTGTCTTTCCTCCCGCCTTGGCAGTTGCACAGTTGTGAGTGATTTCTAGCGTTTCTCTCCCCCTGACTTCCCAACCCACCCTGTGAAACGGGGCGGGGGCAGGAGGAGCCCTCTTACGTTTTCAATAGAAGATTCATTGTCGGAGCAGCGAAGCTTTTGTGGCGAGACAACCACCATTGTCATTAACATTTAGGGAGCCCTTTTAGTTTCCTCAGCTCTGAGCGGGGCTGCATTAGAATGTGGGTCCATTTTTCATCCTGGGCGGGAAGCATCGCCCTGGCAAGTACACCGTGGGACCGGCGGGCCCCTCGCTCCACCGTTGGGGGGAATAACAAGTGGGCTTATTTTCTTACCCCCTAGAACGTCGCTACCCTCCCCTGACCCTGGATGGTGAAAGAATTTATTTCTATTGTAATTTGACAATAGGGCCTCCTCGAGGCCAAGTTCAGCCTGCTGCATAATCAAAGGGGGTGGTTTCTCCCCTTGGCCCATCTTTAGTTCATGGAGGAATGTAGGAGTTGGTCCAACAGCCACCCACATCCTCCACGGCCTGTGTGTGTTCACTGTCTGCTTCCTCCGAGAACAAGCTCCCAGGATTGCAGGCTCTACTCAGATAAAATAAAGCTTTCCAGTCGTATCTTTACGTTTGACGTAACCCGAGGGAGGCATTCGTTGTTACATACTGCATGGGGCTGTCGTGAGGGCCTGGGGTCGCTCTGAGCCTGGCACTGTGGTCGGAAGGGGCCTTGAAGCTGGAAGCTCATTCATCTTGTGCAGCCTCCTTTTATCCGGCCACGTGGTTTCTCTACAGTCTAAGGGAGGGTGGTGCCTGCCCCTGGGCTTACAGCAGGGCGTCCTGTGTTTCCCATCCGTGTTCTCCTTTCCTCCATTGCCCATGTAGGTAGGATGCCAGAGAAATCCTAAATCACCTTCCTATCGTGCCTGTCTTGGTGGTGGTGTTTGACCAGAGTGGTCCCTCCTTTTTTGCTCCAATTCCACTATCACTTGTCTGGTCTGACCTCTCATCACTTAATAGCATCAGACCCTCCCCTCTCTCGTGCTTCCTCCTTTCCTTCTCTCCTTCCCTTTCTGTCCACCTACCACCTGTCTGCCTGCCCACCCCTAGTGTTTTCTCAGGCCTGCCACGTGCCCCGCACGGTGTTAAGCACTAGAGATAAAGCAGCGAATAAGATCCGCACTCAGGTAGAGTCAAGTAATGACAGAAAGACTGATTTAACTGCAACTGGGGAAGGTTCTGCGAAGGAGAAATACAGAGAGCTGCTAGTCAACTTACCCTGTTTTTGGGAGATCAGCAAATAGCAAAAACAATAATAATAATTGCTTCCCAGTGCTTGTTGAGTCATCGATGGACTGATTGTATTTTAGAAATGTTTCCGTGTATAGTCTTGGTGGGGACCTGGTGTAAGTCGGAAGTTGCCAGTATTCACAGGTGTGGATGCCTTCGTGCTGAGGCTGACCATGGTTCACCCTGTGATAGTCAAGGTGTGTCCTTTGGGTCCCTGAAAACAAGCACATTCTTTTCTCCAGAGCACTTCATGCCTTTGTAATCCAGAGGGATGGCTTAACTGCCTTTCATCTAGGAAAGGGTGGTACAGGTAGAGTTGAGGTCACAGCGGGACTAGTTTGATGGGGACTAAGCAGGCTTTCCGAGCTGGCAGCAAATTGGTTGGCGTGCTTCCTTATTACCCATGGATACCTCCCCCGACCAAAGTCATTTTTGTCCCCCTTACAGCCAAGGCAGATTGAATTACCCAGCAACTTGTTTATGAGCAAGGATGAATCCATTGGTAAACATATTTTTCCTTATTAGATGTCCATAGTCATCTAATGCCTTTTTATTTGTGTTTCCTTTGAGTAATTGCTCTGCGCGTTGGTCCTGGCAATTCTCTCCAGTTTGGATTTGCAAGCGACATTGGCACGGAGCTTTTGGAATCCACTGGGGCTGGGCAGGGAGTCTAGCTGTCACTCTCTTTGTTTGATCTCGATTTCTCTCTGGCAGAGCCTTTTTGTCACATCACGTGCTATCGAAGGTGCCTTGGGGAAGAGGAAGGATGTAGGGAGGATTTTGGCTTCCGAGCAATTGCATAAACACAGCAGAGACTGGAGTCTTAAAACCCAAGGTTTGAGGCAGAACTGGCCTTGAGATGGGCCAGCCAGAAATGCTTTTTCTAGCCATCGCCGAGGCAGCTGCGTGGTGGAGCTGAGCCATCCTAATTTCACCTATCCGTGTTTAATCATCGATACCCTGTAAACCAAGCTCTCCTTTTTTTCCTTTTTTCAAAGGATCGGTATTCCTAGAGTAGATGAATCTGGCCACGTGAAGCAGCCTCCGCTTTATGAAAAAAACCCACCATCCCAAACCCCAGGCTGTTAAAACCTGATGTTTTCTGTTGCCGGGAGCAGAGGGTTTTTGCTATAAATGAAAGATGTGGCAGGGGGTATTTCAAAGCTTTGTTTTGGTTATTGCCGGTTCTGCCAACGAGTAACATCTGTATTTATTTTCCACACTCTCCCGATGGCTGATTTGCATCTGTTTAGTTCTCTGAGTAACATTTCATTTCCTGACTTTATAGGTCGCTATAAAATCCATTCGTAAGGACAAAATTAAGGATGAACAAGACATGGTTCACATCAGACGAGAGATTGAGATCATGTCATCCCTCAACCATCCTCATATCATCAGTATTTATGAAGGTCAGTGATTTTTTTTTTCACCTCCGTATCAGTTACCATTTCTCATACCATGGGGCCTGCCAAGATTTTTAGGTAATTGCCCTTCTGGACAGGAGCCAAGTATTTTTTTTCATGATGCAAAAATAGCCGGGTGTTATCTCTTATTTGGTTACCTTGAATGCAACCAGACACACGTAGCGCAGCTCACTTTGGTCATAAAATAGCTCTGGCGGGTGCCTTCCTCCGTCTTTCCAGTTCCTTGGTGGTTGCTAAGCAACCTGCCTTGCTGACAGCCAGTATGTGAGACAGCTATGGTTTCTGAAAATGGCACTTTGCTGGGTGACCAAGTAACGGGGGATCCATTATAAACGTCATTCCCCAAAGCTGATGCTCTGGTGGTGGTGTCATGAGTTACTGGAAGTTAGGCTCTTTGAGTTAGAAATTAACTTTGAGCAGGTCCAGGAAATACCGAGAAAGAAGAGGGATCTGTAGATGCGGCAGATGCTTCTTAAGTGGAGTCCAAGCTGTATTCATTTTAGTAGAAAGGCGGGATGGGGAAAAGCTTATAAAAACGTTCCTGCTTTAACTCTTGGGTCCTTCGTAGGAAGAAATGGAGAGGATAAACTTGCCAGTCTACCGTTTAAAAAACAAATCCTTCAAAATTACGCAAGCTATATGTGTTTATTGCAGAAATGATTGAAATACAAATGTTAAAATTAAGACAGTAATTTCTGTTCTAACTCCCAGTTTGATAAATAGCTCTCTAGCCATATTTATATTTTCATCTACTTCTCTATATCTGCATGTGGTTTTTATCCAAAGTTAGATCATACTGTTTGTAGTATTTTTTCGTTTGATTTTTTTCATTTTTTATATCATGCATCTCTTCCTATGTCAATAAATATTCCCCTGTAAGGACATTTAAAAAGGCTTTGTAGTATTCCTTTTATGGACATACCATAATTTATTGAATCTCATTCCTTTTGTCAAACATTTAAGTTATTTCAAATTTCTGGTTATTATAAACAGGGCTTTAGTGACCCTCCTTATACATCATTCTTACATTCATTTCTGATTATTTTCCTATGAAAAATTCCTAGTCTTGGAATTACTGAGTCAAACTGTTTCTCCAGAATATTTATTAATATATGGTTGAGTCAGAAAAATGAGCCTATTTTTAATTTCTGGTCTGATCATAAGTTATACAGTGAGGACTAAGACAAAACCAGATGGTAACCCTAAAATTTTTCTGATATTTAAAATTTTCCTTCTTCTGGTTCCCTGCTGTTTTTTGCCATTCTTTTTTCTGCGGTTTCTATTTTCATTCCTCATCTAGCAGTAAATGTTGGTAATATCTTTTATCTTGATTTTTCTAAAGCTCATTTTGGCCCCCTTGGGGATAGGATGGTTAAGGGAAAGTTTCATTCATTCAGTCATTGATTCATTCCACAAACGTTTCTTGCAGTGATTCTCAAAGTGCAGTCCTTGGACCAGCAGCATCGGCATAAACTGAGATTGTTAGAAATGCAGATTCCCGGGTCTCACCTAGAACCTGCTGAATCAGCACTTCTGTGTTTTAACAAGTTTGGGAACCTTTGGTCTACTTCTCCTTAAGCACTGTGTTAAATGTTCTTAGAAATTAAGGAGGCATATGCTGTGAATCTCATACTCAAGAGCCAATACAAGGCATGATAGAAAAAGTATTGTATAGATATGTAAGCAACATATTCTGGGACCGTGGAGTCCCAGGGGTTAGAAGTTTTCATGGAGATGTACGACATCCAGGCTGGGCTTTTGAAGGAGTTTTTTTGAGGAAGAATTGGCAAAAGTAGAATTCCAGGCTGATAAACTGAATATGCCCGGTGAATGAGGGAATTTCTAGAAGTTAGAAGTGAGTAGAGATACAAACTGTAGGATGAGAGTGAGTTTTATTAAATTCTGAGTGGTTTTGCTCCATGTGGTCTGGTTACCATGGAAACCTGAAGGCAGTTGTGAAAGGTGACGTGTATGGACCAGTGAGGGTCACATGCTCCGTGAGCACTGCCGTGTTGGGATTCTTGGCCTAGAGCTGGACCCCTCTTTATCAGGAAGGCGGAGAGAGTGTTATCCCCGGGTGCAGCTCCTAGGTTCTTTATCTGGGAGACGGTCTGTGGGAACTGAAGTCTGGCATGGAGAAGCTTGACTGCTTCGCTAGCATCCTGCCACCTTTGGCCTTGGGAATCCTACAGGCCCAATGGGGAACAGCAATCTGTCCTCCTCCCAAGGAAAGGCCAGAAGATGAACCCTTATGGAAGAGCATTCTATTATCAAAGTCAAGCTGGCCTCAGTCCAGCCCATGCTGGAGGCTTCAAGAAGAAGGGAAGCCCTTGCTTATAACTTTAAAGATGGGCACCAGCGTGAATTAAAGTTCCTTGGGTGACTAGAAATAATTTCCATCAAGGCCGCAGGTGGGAGCTTGGGCCTCAATCCATAAAACCCTCTGAACAGGTTTTAGGGAGTCAGGAAGGAGCCTGAGTTCTTCCATCAGTCTTGAGTTTCAGTCCCAAATCCTCCACTGTGGCCTAGAAGTGAGACTTTGGGCAAGATGGTGGGCCTCTCAGTGCCTCAATAACCATACCTGTGAAATGGGGATAATGTTCTGCCTTTCTCAGAGGGTTTTCGATAGGATTAAATGAGATATGTGTTCTGGTATGGTAAACTCGAAAAAAGGTAATTATTGTGAAGATGGTATAATCGTTATAAGTGGTTCTTAACCTGGGGTCCATTGACAAGTGTGTTTCATGGGTGAGGGTCTGTAAATCCTCTGGAATAGTCTATAGCTACGTTGTCCAATACAGAAACCGCTAGCCACAGATGAATATTTAAATTAAAATTAGTAAAATAAAATAATTAAAAATTCAGTTCCTCAGTCACTACATTTCACGTGCTCAATAGCCAGATGTTAGGGTTAGTGGCTCCCATACTGGATAGTGTACATATAGAACTTTTTCATGGCTGCAGGATAGGACCCTGCTGGTGTATACTGTTTTATGTGTTAAGTGCATGGGTTATTTTTTTCTGGGGAGAGGGCGCATAGCACTCATCAGACTCTCAGAGGGCTGCCTACCCTCAAATGAGTTTAGAAAAACCCACTGCCATCAAGTATTTTGTGACCAGCAGAGTCCCATACAAATAAAAGGTATTGTTTTTATCCAGAAAACTCCCAGGGACTTAAATGTGGCTTTTTAAAAAATTTTAATTTCTTAGAGATCTCCAGTTTCTGTTCTATTCTATTTCCCTTCTCCCACGCAAGTTCTGTTTCTCCCACATCCACTAAATAACTGTGGAGGAGGGCAGCTCCCCTCCCTTCCCGAGTGGTTAGGAGCGAGATCGCCAAGGTGCTGTTCCAGCTCGTACACCCCTAACTGGGACCCCGCAATCTCCAGGTCTTATGACTGTATCTGCTTCACCGCCCAGGACCCCAAGATGCAGCTCTGAGGGTGAAGTTAGACATCCTGGCGTCATCTGGAGAGCTCTGTAGAGTTTATACAGCACTCCCACATCTAGTCTCGTTTGATCCCCACAGCAGACCTGTGAGGTGGGCGGTCCAGGTGTTCCCGTTTTGCAGACTCTGGCAGGCTGACCACTTGCTGGGTGTACTCGTTCTCTGGGCTGCCACAACTAAGTACCACAGTCTGGGTGGATTAAGCAACAGAAGTTTATTGTGTCACAATTCTGGAGGCTGGGAGTCCAAGACCAAGGTGTGAGCAGGGTTGCTTGCTTCTAAGGCCTCTTCCCTTGGCTTGTGGACGGCTGTCTCCTCCCTGAGTCTTCACACCATCTTCCTTTTTTATATGTCTGTGTCCAGATTTCCCCTTTTTGTGAGGACACCAGTCCTACTGGATGGGGGCCCACCTGAATGACCTCATCGAACCTTAATTCCCTCTTTAAAGACCTTCTCTCCAAATAGTGTCACATTCTGAGTTCCTAGGGGTTAGGACTTCAACATAGGAATTTGGGGGGACCCAATTCAGCTCATAACACTGGGTATCACAGCTAGTTGGCGGCCCTGGCACATTTTTTAACTCTGCCAGGCCTCAGCCCTGTATTTCTGACCTTGTGTCTTGGTTTGCTGGCTCTGCAGCCCACCTCTCTGCCCCAGGCGTCCCCCTCAGCCTGCCCTTTTCCATCCTTTTCTACCCTGTGGTGTGGTAGGGGCAGTGTGGTGGCAGCGTTGGTGGTGGGACCCAAGTCTGTGAGTTAATACGCTGGTGTCTCTGCCACCCACAGAGTGAAAGGGGAACCTTCTCTCTGAAAGCTGATTGGTTGTTTGATAGGCCAATGAAGAGTCTTAGCTGAGTGCGGCGATGCATTAATTTGCTTAGTGAAAATGTCGAGGCGTCTAAGTGGCTGTTGGGACATTGGCCAAGTGAATAGAAGCTATTAAAGAACTTTACAATCATTTCTTCCACAAGGACCTTTATGATTTAAAATACACACACACATACACACACACACACAAGCAGCAGCAGTAGCAGTAACAGTAATGGCAGCAACGTGACAAAGCAATGATGTACCCAACCCTGTATACTTAGGGACGTTGGACTTTCATGAGGGGAAGTCACCGTCTTGGTCTGTACTATCTGGTGATATTGAAATCCTAGTTCTAGAGAAAAAATAATTCCTTCATTAAAAAAAAAACTAATTAAATACTTACTCTGTGCCAGGCCCTATTCTAGGCACTAGGAATACAGGGTAAACATGACACACTCGTGTCTCATGGAGCCGACATTCAGTGAGCAGACCATGAACAGATAAGTGACTTGAGCTGAGACCTGAGTGAAGTGGGGAGTGAGCCCTTGGAAGACCTGGGCATGGCAGGCGCATTCCAGGCAAAAGGAACAGCATGTGTGAATGCTCAGAGGAGGGAAGGATCTTGTGTTGGTGGAAGTGATAGAGGGCCTGTGAGGCTGAGGGAGGGAGTGAGTAGGATGGTGACAGGAGAGAGGAGGTTGGAGAGGACCAGATCTTGAGCACACTGG